TTCAGGGAGGCTTGGTGGCTATTGAGGAAGAGGAGGAGAAAGAGGAGGGTGGGTGAGGGGGGTTGATGGTAGAGGAGGGGATGGAGAGAAAAGGATGATCAAGGACGATCAAGCTCAGTTCAAGTTCTACTTCAATTCAATTCAAATCTAATTCGAATTATATTTCAATTCAACTCAAATTCAATTCGAGTCATATTATAACTCAACTCAAATTTGGCTAACTCAAACTCAATCTCAAAGCTCAAGTTTGACTAGTTTAAACTCAACCCAACTCAATTGGTGTTGCTCAAATTGGAAGAAGAGTTGGACTCTGATTGATAGTCCTACTCTAGTAGGAGTCCTCACATTTACAACCATAAAAAGAGTGGTGTGATAGACTTAAGATATCAATAACCTAAGAAAAAGAGTTGGTGACTATAAATAAGAGGAGAAAGGAAAAGAGACGATAAAAATATTGTAGAAGTCCGAGCTATCTATTAGGAGCAAGAGCACTAAGAAGGGGAGGGGGAGTGAATTAGTGCGGAAAACTTTCGACGATTTAAAACGACGTTCGTATGATAAAAATAATTTCGATGAAAAATCATTTCGAAAAGTTCTTTAACTTAAAATTAAGCGAAGTACAAATGAAAAAAAGCAATGGAGGCAGTTTGCAGTTAAGATAGAGAGCAGAATGTAAATGCAAACCGAGATTTAGAGTGGTTCGGTCAATCTTGAACTACATCCACTTTTGGCTTCCTCCTCCGATGAGGTCACCGACGTCCGCTAGAGGCCTTCCTTCAATAGGCGAAGGCCAACCACCCTTTTACGGCTTTATTCCTTTTGACGGGCTTAGGAAACAACCTTTATAGATTTTCACTCCTCTCTTGAATGATCAAAACTTAGATGAAAAGAGAAAAAAGAACTTTTGGCCTTTTACAACACTTTTGAACTCTCAAATTCTCAGAATAAGATCAAGATTTCGGTGCCCTTTCATACAGGAAAGGGTGTGGTTTATTTAGGCCCCAACTGGTTTAAATTTGGAGCTCAAAAATATCATCTCTCGGATTTTCGAGGTCCTGGCGGTACTACCGCCATAACTAGGCGGTACTACCGCCTGACATTGCTCGGAGACCGAGCTCAAGCGATACCACTGCCTGACAAGGGCGGTACCATCACTCAGCTTCGCTCGGAGACCGAGCTCAAGCGGTACCACTGCTTGATGGGGTGGTACCACCGCCCAGCATTCCTGGGAGACTGAGCTCCTAGGCGGTGCCATTGCTGGCCAAGAATTCTGGGTCCGAATGGGCTGATCCATTCAGCCTAATTTGGGTCTGTCAAGGGCCTAATTGCCCCCAGATTAAGTTAATGGGATCACCTATTCCTAACTTAATCTACATGCTAACTATGATATTGAAGACATTAATATTGTAACTTGCTCCGGTGCATCAATCGCTTCTTCTGGCGAGCTTCCGGTGAACTTTCGATGAACATCCGACGAACCCTCGGCGATGCTCCAGCGAACTTTCGGTAAACTCCTAGACTTGTGATAATCCACTTGGCAAGTTCCGACGAGCTTCTTTGGAAAGCTCCTAAACTTCTCGGATTTGTTCCCGTAGAACCTCCGACGACCGTCCGGACTTCCGTCGAACTCTCGAAAACCCAACGTGATCATAGTCTTGACTCTAGCGCAACTCTTGCTGCATGTCTTACTGCTATTGTAGTTAATCCTGCACATATAAAACAAACTTCGATCTACACAATTAATACTAAGCATTAATCAAGTTGTCCGGCATGTCATTGGTCCCTCGACGCTTCGTCCGATTCTTCGACGCATCGTCCTCTCTTGCAGCCTATTGCCCAATCGGCCAGTTGACTCTGCAAATCCAATATCCTTGGCGCAATATCCGCTCTTCTTGGCTCGATGCCCGAATCCACTGCCCGAAGCCTTCTATCGATACGTCGACCGATCCACCGGCCCGACGTCCAATCTTCTGACATGTTCTCCTCCAGCACAACTTGATTTTTTCTGCTTTAATTGTCTCATCCTGATCGAAGCATCCTATGTCACTCAAAATGTAGATTACAACATCAATACAATTATCAATTAGTTTCATTATCAAAATATGAGATTCAACAATCTTCCCCTTTTTTATGATGACAACAAATTGATGACGGAGCTAAACTTAACTCCCGGAGTTTAACCAAGCTCCCCCTATCAATATGCCTTATTAATAGAAACTCTTGGATTTAAACATCCAAGCAACATGCCATGATCAAATCATAACATACAATCAGCATACTTTTCCCCCTTTGTCATCAACAAAAAGGATAAGTACAATTCTCATGTGTTTAAACATAAATTCAAATTGTTGCATGAAAAACATGAAGTTTTATCATTATGTAATTTATAAGCT